CTCTCCTCAGTTTCCCAGCATGCCACAGCAGTGGAGGTGTACGAGGGGGCAGAGTCTGTTCTGCTGCCCTGTCAGTTACTAGCTGCTCCCAGTGAGTTCACAGCAGCAGTGTGGGACCGCAAGGACCTGAACATCCCAACAGTCCATGTTCGTGTGAAGAGTGGTGATGATTTGGATGACCAAAACCAGCGTTACACCAACCGAACATCAATGAGTGCTGATGCTCTGCAAACTGGAGACCTCAGCCTCACTCTGAGAAACCCGACAGTCTCTGACAGTGGAACCTACACCTGCATCCTCCGCATCATTGGACGAGATGTGAGCTGGATTTACTTACAACTGAAGGTCACAGGTCAGTGACGTAGACAGAGGTTAGAGGAGAAGTGAACTCTAAATTTATCAAAATCTGCTGGATGATGTTCAGGTTTTTTGTGCTTGTGCTAATTACAGAACCTCCTCCTCTACCTCCTCCAGTCTGGCCCAAAGTTCTCTCAGCTGTCTTGGTTCCTGTGGTTGTCCTGGCTATTTGCTGTGGTATCGGCATGTTTTGTGGATATAAAAGGCTGAAAAATAAAGAAGGTATGTAGTGTTACATTCTTTGTCTAGACGTGTATTGAACGCAACAAGAAGTTGGCCCACTCACACACCACCCAAGCAAGAACACAAACAGTCGTATCAGTGCCAAAAATAACAAACAAAACTCCCTAATGGTTCCTATGCTTTCCTACACAAAATGAAAACCAAACAAAAGACAATTCTCTTACCTAACTTTCTACATGAAAAACAGGAGAAAACGTAATCAACAAAAATGGCTTCTCACGCCTACTAGGCTGCTGCAGTGAAGGATATATAGAAGGTGACCAAAATACTCAATCTAAAATGCTACTTTACAAATCTATTTACAAAATGAATATACCAACACCAGACACATACCCACACACGATTCCTTTCCTGTCTGCGTGTCGAGGTTGCGTCTCTGTAGTTTGTTCTTTAAGTCTCCTCTGTCTCTTGGTCCCTCTACCCTTGTTCAGGGTTGGGGTCAGCTGTGGGACAGATGGCCTCACTTTTGACTCTAGAATACTTCGGTGTAGATAGTGCCTAAACATCATCTCTTCACCATCATGCTTACATTTGGTTTCTACAAACCTGGAGCTCTTCATTAAGGACAAACATGTCCACTTTGTTCTCATCTATAAAAGCATGTTTATTCCCAAAAGTTCAGGTTGTGGTTCATATCCGGCTATATAAATAAACTTTATATAGTTTTGTCCACTGTGAATAATGTTTCTCACTGCATCATCCCATTGTCTGTCTACATTTTAACCCCATATTGACTGATGTTGTTCAATTAATTGACTACAGTTGATCAGCAGGAGCTAGGTTTTATGTTAAATAAATCATAACACTGTTGTAAAATGTTGCATTTAGCTGTTCATCTGAGGATGTGTTTATCTAAATGTAATACATTTTTTAAGGACCAAATAATTTTAGTTCATCTGCAAAAGATGTAGGCAGCTGGGGGTTTCCATGACGCACTGAGTGTTTCTCCTTCACTCACTATGTTTTACTGTAAATATTTCACTTCAATCTGTCAAAGGAGGTGTGCTGCTGATGCTGTGCAGCTCATGTTGTGCTTTGTTGTTCCTTTAGTTCAAGAAGTGGAGGTGGATACAGGTGTGAGGTCTGCCAAGCTGCCCTTCAAAGCCACAGTTCACCTGTCTCAAATAAATAAGGTTGTGTGGAAGAACAGAAATAACAGGAACGTCCATGTGTACGAGAATGGCTCTGACCATCCAGAAAAACAGGATCGACATTACAGACACCGAACAGAAATTAATAAAAAACTGCTGAAGACTGGAGACCTCAGTCTGACACTGAAATACCCCACACACACAGCCAGAGACACCTACACCTGCACCGCCTACAGCATGGAGGGAAAAGTCCTGATGGAGAAAAAAGTGGAGCTGAAAGTC